TCTGTTGTCGAATGATTTGTGTGATGAAATTGAGAAATTAATGAATGGCTTTTGGTGGAGGGGCACTAAATTTGAGCAGAAGGGGCTGAGGTGGAGAAGATGGGAGACCCTCTGTAAATCGAAAAATTTGGGGGGTCTAAGCTTTCTGAGAATAAGAGATTTTAATCTGGCAATGTTAGCTAAGCAGGGTTGGAAGCTTGTGACCGAGCCATCCAGTCTGATGTGTAGAGTACTGGAGGCCAGGTATTTTCCGAACTCGGATTTTTTGCATGCTCAAGTTGGGAAAAAACGCTCTTTCCTTTTGCGTAGTTTTTTCGAGACACAAAATATTCTAAAAAATAGTACCCGAAGGAGAGTTGGAAATGGGATCGATGTCCAACTGTGGTCCGATGCTCGGGTCCCTGGAGATGGGGCGGGACGGGTTACATCTGCCAGACCAACAAGAATTAGAGACATGAATGTTGCAGCCCTGCGTGATATCACAGGGAAAAAGTGGAACAGAGAGAGAATTACTAATATTTTTAATGCAGAAGATATGGGAAGATTTTGAGCATCCCTATTAGTTCTTATGACAGGAAGGATGGATATTGGTGGAATGGGGACAATAGCGGTATTTTTCTGTGAAGACCTTCTACCGCTTACTTACAGGATAATTGTAGACCGGGGATGGAACTAACTGGGCTCGGCTATGGGATTTGCATATCCCACCGAAGCTTAAATATTTTGTTGGGCAGGTCATTGATGGCTCTCTCCCCACAGTTGATAATTTAAGGAACAAAGGAGTGCAGGTTTTTGAAGGGTGTAAAGTGTGCGGAGATGATAGCGAAACGACATATCATGCATTTCGGTTATGTGAAGGAGCTAAGGAGGTATGTGTTGATTTGGGCAGCCCGGCGGACCCTATGAATACATGGATTTGGCAGCACCTAGGTGGACCGAATGGGGAAGATCGATGCAGATTCGTTGCTATTTTGTGGAGCCTGAGGAAGAGGAGGAATGGATTTGTCTGGAAGGATAGATGGCAAGGGGCTGCGAGGGTAATCAATGCGGCGGCAGGAATAATATCGAGCTGGAGAGATGCGCAAGGCACTGGACGAACAGAGCAGGTAAGGAAAGAAACTAATTCCTTGACAGTTTGGAAATGACCGCGGGATGGCTATGTGTTAAGATAAATGTGGGTGGGGCGGTGGACGAAAATAAAAATATTCGGGCCTGGGGGTGGGTTGCACGAGACCACCATGGTAACTTTCTAAAGGTGAAAGGGGTCTCAGAACTAGCTAGCTGGTCGGTAATGGAAATAGAGGCGATGAGTGTTCGTGATGCTTTGATGGGGGCGGCCGAAGCATGATGGTCACATGTAGAGATTGAGACCGATGCTCTCTTGGTGGTCCAGGGTCTCAAAAATGGGGGAGAATCTTTTTACCTTTTCCTAATTCATGATGATATTAGAAATATGTTGAAAGATAAGAGTAATTTTATTGTCTCTTTTTTGTAAGCGATCTGCGAATCGTGTTGCCCATGCGTTAGCAAGAGCACATGTGTCTATCCCAGATCAGTCCTGTTGTTATGATGTTATCCCTGACACTATTGTAAGCCTTCTGGAACATGATTTGGTGAAGTAATATATCATTCAGTTGGAGATAAAAAAAATCTTTTTCCAAATTCAACCCACCGTACTCCAATATGCTATTACGAAAAATACAAGGACTACATCTCTCTTTAAAAGCATTTGTATTTTTTTTTTGTGTTTTTTATACTCTAGGGGGTCTAGGAGAGGGGGGTTGGGGGGCATGGAGTAATTTGGGCTCCATGTGTAAATTTGTTCAACTAAATTTCACTAGAAGAAAAAACTTCCAACATTTTTTTGAGCTTCCTAAAATAAATTTTTACTTTCATTTTTTAGTACGCCATTCTAGGTCTTACCATTTAAAAAAACTTAGACCAACTCGATTAGCCATTCTAGGTCTTACCAATTAAAAAAACTTAGACCAACTCGATTAAAAAGCATATATTTTAAAGTTTGATACACTTTTCTTTTTTGGATGTAATTAAAAGTTTGCTACACTTTCACTTTTTGGTAAGTTTTTTCCTTTAAAAATACTCAATTACCCTTACTTTTCCTACTTTTTATCTTCTCTTTCATATTTTTCTACCTTCTCTCTTACTTTTTTACACTATTCATTACCCCTATTAGTTCCCTCTTAAATGTTGTGCTCAAACCTAATGTAGAGAACTTTGAAATATGGGGGAGTATTTGAAAACGATGAAACAGGTCAAGTAGGGGTGGACCCGGGCCGGTTCCGGTTCGGGCCTGGGCCCGGCTGAGCCTTTTTTTGGGAAAGGGGGAACCGGAATCGGCCCGGGTAGGCGCCAGTTCCGGTTCAATTTTTTGTTTTTGTTTTTTATTTCTTATTTATTTCATCCCCCCCCCCCCCCCCTCCACCCCCCAAACCCCTCGGAAACACCCAGTCCAACCCAACTAAACCCAGCCCAAACCCCCCCCCCCCCCCCCCAAAAAAAAGGTCTGAACCGGGCCCTGCCCGGCCGATTCGCCTTTTGCTTGACTCGGGCCCGGAACCGCTTAACCCCTCGGGCCTAGGCCCGAACCGGAACCGGAACCGGTTTCCCGGGCCGGGCCGGTTCTAAACAGTACCGGACCGGTTCCGGGCCAACCGAGTCCATCCCTAAGGTCAAGTAAATGAAGTAATGCTTTAACTTGTGCAATATAACGCCCATAACTTGTAACTATATAGAACCGGCCCGCATTGCTTTTCGTGAATTTGGGGCTTGTTTGCAATCACTTAAGAAAAGTGATTTTGGTTTTTTTTTAAGAAAAAAGCACTTATTTTACCAAACACTACCAACTTTTACTTTCTCGGTTTTCGTGTAGAATCTACTTTTTACTTTTTCTATTACACAAAAAGCACTTATTTTACCAAACACTACCAACTTCTACTACTAATCATTTTTTTCCAAAAAGTACTTTTATTTAAGCAAAAGTGGTTGCAAACAAAGCCTTAGCCTGTTTAACCTAGTGGAGGGCGTTTACAGAAAAAATAAGAACAGCTTGCGACACATGGCTTATTCTTATTAGACCACATGTGACCTTAGTTAGGCACACAAAATGGGTCGTCCGTTGTCTTCTTGTGGTAAGATTGTGACATAATTTCGGTGAGTCAGCCTTCAAAGTGTGAAGTGTCCTTGCCAATGCCCATACTTTGGGCCCGATATTACAATATTTCTACATGTTTTTTAGATACTTTCATTTCTTAATAGGATGTTTTCTTTGCCAAAAAACTCCATTTTCTTGAGAGGATTTTATAAGAGAAGTAGTACGGAGTATTAATTACTTGGGAAATGTAAAAATGTAAAGAATTACATCAATTGATTTAATTATTTAATATAAATCAATATATATATATATAAGAGGAACTTTTTAAGAGCATATAAAGCGCCACATAATCTTGCCATGTCATCCATCATATATTTTTATTTATTCTATTAGATTTTATTTTTAATGCATATTGATATGGAAACAAAAGATTGTATGATAAAAATCAACTTTATTTGGTAACTTTTTCAAAAACCTTTTACGTAATTGATAATTATTGGAACACAACAATTAATAACCAACCTACACTTAGACAACAATTTATACGGAGTACTTTTTATAAGCATGGAGTAAATATTATTTGATTATTTTTATTCTTTTTATCTTTTGTTACATTCTATTGACGAATGAAATATCTTTATTTTGCTATTTATTTTGTCTTCAAAATGATTTTATATAAAAAAATTAATAATAGTGTCCCATTTCCTAAAATATACTCCGTGATATTTTATTCTTCTAAACTCAATGTTGAAATCATGATTAAAATTTTAAGCCACAGATTTGCAATTGTGTTAATGCTTCATATTTTTCTGTCATATTTATATAATTTTTTCTTTATTATTTTACAAATGGAATATATTTTAATTTTGTTCATGATTCAGGAGATTCCGTCTATTCAGCCCATTAAGTCAGCTTTAATCAGTTTCAATAAAATAAGCCTATTCCACCTATTTTAGTATTATCAAACGAACTCTATATTTAGACTGAATTTATTTTTCTTTTGCATCACATTATATTTGATTCCAAAAAAATCATATTCAAAATTAACTAAATTGTGTACTGCCCGTGCATCGCACGAGCTTGAAATCTAGTTGTATACTACCACAAGTACTCCGTAGTATTTATTAAATACTTAAATTATACTCGTATTATGTAAAATATTTTAAAACCTTTGGCCTCAAGCAGGATGGACCTCAGACCAGTTTTGATTCTGGACCACTTACTCGTCTCGAAATGTGATTTTCCTGACCCTAAGTACTTTCGTTCTGATTCCAATATTAATTCCGGTCCAATGAACCGGTCCAAACTAATCCATTTCCGGTCCAAACGATTTACCCACAGAGTTTTGAAACCAGATCCTCCTAGGGGTGGACCGGTTCCGGGCCAACCGGCCCGGGCTCGGGCCCAGCCCAGCCCGGACCGGTACTGTTTGTACCCGGCCCAGCCCGAGGGGATAACCGGTTCCGGGTCCTAAAAAGGCGAACCAGCCCGGCCGGTCCGGGCCAGGTTCGGGCTTTTTTTTGGGTTTGGGCTGGGTTTAGGTGGGCTGGGTGTTTCCGAGGGGTTTGGGGGGATGGGGGTTGAAATAAATTAGAAAACAAAAAAAAATTGAACCGGAACCGGTAGACTCCTGGGCCGGTTCCGGGCCTTAGCCAAAACCATCGAGACCCGAACCGGAACCAGACCGGGCCCGGTCCATCCTAGATCCTCCCCTAATATTATGATCCCAGCCCAAATTGGGGATGTTTGTTGTCATGAAAGAAAATTTCTAAAACATGAAACAATACCGAAAACTAATATTGTGGTAGTCTAGTTTCAACTTTCAATTTGTACTAGACCATATTAGACTAGACCACAAACACCCCAAGGTCCAACTATTGGGGATGCCCTTAGCTGCTTAAGTATGTAATCTCTCTAGAAATGTAAAGAGACAAAAAGAAAACAGATGGGCTAATTAATACTCAGCAGAAAATATTTACAGAAAATTTATGTCCATTTTGACTTCTCAGCTAGCTGTTGAGGCTACAAAAGTCCACACTCTCAACAAGAAAATTATTGCGAGGAAAAAAACAGAAGATGATGAATTTCTACTTTGATCATGTTCTTGATGGTGCTTCAGCAGGACCAGCAGAAGGTTCGATGTCTACAACAACAGAATCATCAACGTCTCTAATGTCATTTGTTGCATCAGCCAGCGAGCGCTGAGCAGCAGCAGCAAGCAGAAATTGACGGGAATGCCCCATTGAGAACTCAGAACTATTAAAGGATGGGTTGAAACCAAGCATTTGTTTTCTTTCAAAAGATTCCTGTACAGAAAACCGGCAAACGGGGCAGGTTGACTGTTTCTTGAGCCATGTATCAATGCAAGAGAGGTGAAATGTATGGCCACAATCCGGCATTATTCTTAGATCTTCCTTCTCTTGATACTCCGCGAGGCATATGATACACCTGCAATGCACATTTCCACACCCAAAGATTGATTCCAACCGATTAAGAAATCCAAAACATAATAGTCTCAAGTATTCGTTTGATGTTTTGAAGTGGAACATCTTGTAAGGAATTGAATTTCTAAAAATGGCAACCCTTTAATAAGGGAGAAGTCTAAAATTTTCTATGCCAGTTTGTTATTTATTTCATATATTTAACCAATGTGAGACAATTTCTTCAACACATCTTATTACAAGCAAAACCCCACCGCAGGTGAGAGCCTTTGCGGCACTGGATTAATATTGTTGTTGTTGTTGTTGTCGTCTTATTACAGGCAAAGTATGTCCTTTCAAGTGCATATGAGCTCATAGAGTTCAAATTTGAGACCTAAGAAACATACAGGCTGAAAAGTGTGGCCTTTAAACGACAGTTCAGTTAGATTAAATATCCAGTAAAGAAACAAGTTAGCAAGTCTGCAATGTAATGCAATCACTTTACAGACATTTCTAAAAATGTCTACTATGAGTAGACTGTTTTACATTGCATACAACTTGCCAAATGAAGATCATTGCAGATATTTAAAGACAAGTTGGAGCACTTACTGTGTCTCTTCAGAAGGAGTAAAAGCTTCTGGGTGGAACTTCAGTGTGGGAATTGCAGCAACCACAACTGGGTCAAGCCCATTATCATCTCGGTGCTCTGGCTTTAAAAACAAACATTTGTTTTTTCAAATTATAAGTCATGCCCCATGAGCTCCAGCATTTAAATGAATATTATTTAAAAAGAATGACAATATGTTACTCCGTATATAAGTGAATATAATAAAAGCAACCAGGACATAATAAATTGCATCAAGAATATTAATCTATCTTCCATTGTTAATGTTTTGTTTGATCATTTGTTTACACTGTAAAGGGCAGCATGAGTAACTGGAGACAAGGGATGAAGAACACATAAATAACATATACTTCGTATGTGATATAATGACATGTAATTTTTTACTGCAAACAGGAGTAAAATATAGGCTACCTGCACAAATTGGAGTATCTTTCGTTTGTGCTAAAAATAAGATTCATTCGATCCTAAAAAGAAGGGAAACTTTCATAAATACGGCTATAACATACCAAATTATTCAAATAGGGAAATAATTCTTTTTCCTTAAAATAGGGCTCATTCTCTCATGAAAAAGAAGTTTCCACTACTGTTAGATGGCTTTCTCATCCAGCTCAGGTCTCCAACATGGCTTTCTCTATGTGTTTATCAACTACTTTTTTTAAATATTCCAAGAACTGATTTTTAGCACAAAATAAGGGTACTCCTATTCGTAGTAATTTCTCTTAAAAAGAATAAAATTATTTGGAAATTCTTTTTTAAAAAGTGAATAGGCCCTATTTTCAGAATACGAGTCCAGCTTACTAAACTTTGGCTTAAAAGGGAAAAACAAAAAAAATCATTGTTTTACTAATTAAAGCAAAGTAGTATCTATAGCACAAGGATCTCCCGTAACAACAGATACATAGACAACTACAGATCATCAGCATTGACACAATTGAGTGATTCCTACAAACTTTCCTCAAGGAAGAAAAAGACTAGACAATAAAGTGTCGTTGAAGAAGCAGGGAAGAGACATTATTACCAGTTGATGAATATCAATATTCCTAGATTCAATCTCAAACATTTGCCTGCGGCGAATCCTCCCACAAATCAACCTAGTACACACAAATACGATGAAAGTTGCACTCATCCCAAACCCAATAATTGTGGTAATTAGATTCACTCCTGACCCCAACATCCTCATCAGATTTCCCAGTCTTCACAATTCACAAATCTCCTTCCAAGAACAGTGATGAAGGCCCAAAAGTTCAGCACACTTCTCCAGGCTCAAACAAAAACAGTATGCAGAAAACAAGCTACAAGGAGAGAAACATCAACTCCAGGAAACAAGAAATGGGAAATGGCCCCCCATGAGAATAATCTTTGCGGAAGCCATTAAAATAAAATGAGAGCCACTCATTGAAACATCCAGCTAAAACAGACAGGAAAAATTACTATTTCTGCACACACAGGAAGAAGCCCAGATTGAGATTCGAGGTAAAAATCCAATCTTTTTTGAAGAAATGTGCTCAATTTGCGGGGAATGAGAAGCAAATCAAATGTAATCCCCGTGGGTGGAGTGGAAGCTAGGACGGAAAAGACTGGTGGAGGGCTTGTCAATGGATGCGAGAAGAAGCACTAGAAAGAAGACTTCCTGCATTCCATTTCGCTCCGGTTTGCTTGCTGGTTTGGACTCGCATATGGGTGGGGTCGAACTTCATTAGGGACCCTCGTAGTTGTAGAAATCTTGTAGGATCTACAGTGTTACTGCTACCCGTATGAATGAAAGACAACAAAAGAAATGAGTAAAGGGTCAGTTTGGTGCTCGAAGTTGCAAAAAAGGGGTCAAATAATAGAAGATTCTGTCCGGACGTGTCATTTGAGGTGGCTCCAGATAGAATTTTTTTATGAAATTTTTTGAGCATCTTATTCATTAAGTCTAGTTTACTCTTACCAAATTTCAGCTAACAATTCAATCGGGGAGACATTCAAATGATTTCTTGAAGATAACTGCACTTTTAACGGCACAGTTATCTTAAAGAATTCATTTGAATGTCTTCCCGATTGAATTTTTATTTGAAATTTAGTATGAGTAAACTAGACTTAATGAATAAGATTCTAAAAAAATTTCATCATAAAATTCCACCGGGAGCCACCTCAAATGGCACGTTCGGACAAAATTTTCTATATAAGGACTTATTTGATCCCTTTTTTGCAACTTGGAGGACCAAACTGACCCTTATACCCAAAAGAAATTACCGAGTCCTAGTCAGTGTTCTGGTCCGGGACCTATTCTTATAGGACCTCCAAAAATTTAGAATGTAATAGGTTGATTTTTTGTAGATGTTGTAGATGTTAGGTATTATTCAAGATTCCAAAAGTTATATCACTTTTAAATTCTCTAATTTGTGTACTTTAAACATCATAAAATCTATATTTCATTGAACTATCTAGTCAATTTGTATTTCATTGTTAAATGTTATATCTCTTCTTATTTTAAGAGCCTCAATTCACCATTTGAACCGGAGCTTCCAAATTGATTAGACGGCTAAAGTCGTTTCTAGGTTGATTGGTTTTGGTCCATTAAAAGTGCTTTTGCAACTTCAGAAACAAATGTATTCCTCAATGAAGAAGTAAATGCAGAAGTAAATATTGGAGTGTATGTATGAACGTGTGGTAGTACTTCTGGGTGCATCAAATTACTCCTGAAAGCAAGTTTTTAGTAGTTAGGGGAGATCAATGTTTGAAAAATTGATTTTGATTTTGCATCCGCTTTTAAAAAAGAAACAAAAGCAAAATCAGTTCCAAACACCCCTTTAATCTCAAATCTTTTGTGTATTTGCTATATGTCTATCTATAAAAAATAGAATATCACACTCCCTCCGTATTTAAAAGTTTTATACACTTTCATTTTTGGAATGCATTTAAAAGTTCCCTACACTGGCATTTTTGGTAAGTTTATCCTTTATAAAGTACTCAACTACCCTTACTTTATCTACTTTTTATTTCCTCTTTCATACTTTTACACACTCTCTCATACTTTTTCTACACTATTCACTACTCTTACTATTCTATCCTAAAATATTGTGCCAAAGACAAATGTAGGGAACATATAAATAAGGAGGGAGTATCTTATAAGAGATTTTTCCTTCAATATTACTACCTCTGTCCCTCTAAGTTTGGGACAAGAGAAGGTGAAACGGTTATTAATAAAAGTGAGTTTATGTGGCTGATATTGAATTGATAAAGTAAGAATAAAGTAGAAATGATTTAGAACCACACAAACTTTACCAAATAAGGTATGGGACAATCTTAGTGGGACGGACCGAAAAGGTAAAATGTGACAATCATAGATTCATAGTAGGACGGAGGGAGTACTAATTAAAATGTGATGGACAAAAAATGTGTTTTAGTAATTATTTGTGACTACAATTATGTTCAAAATTCAAATCACAGTAATTTATATTTAGTAATTACTCCCTCCGTCCACTTAAGTTTGTCCCGTTTTACCTTTTTCGTCCGTCCCACTTAGTTTGTCTCATACCATATTTGTTAACATTTGAGTGGTTAGAATTCATTATTACTTTATTTACACTTTATCAATTCAATACCAATCACACAATTACACTTTTTCTTAAAAACCACACCACACCACACCCCTCCGTCCCAAACTTAGGGGGACGGAGGGAGTACTAAGAAATATGTTTGTCCGTCACATTTTAAAGAATAATATTTATGGATTTTTTTCATCTTATAAATGTGTACAATTTTTTTGGATGTGGGAGTAAAACATACGAAGTATGTAAAATTATAAAATATATTTAAGTACGTTTTCTTTCCAATGTAAAACTTATTGGTCACATTAAAAAAAGGAGTGACAGTCAAGTGTTCAGTGTTCACTAACAATATTCCGTATATAACAATATTAATGATTCGAAAAAAAGTGGTACGTATTTTCCCTAAATTTTACAAAAAGAAGATGCCAATAAGCGGGTGATTGTGGGATCCGGAGCCTCTACCTTACTTTAGAGTAAGGTAGAGTCCCTTGCTTCCTCCCGGTCGTCCGATCGATAATTCAACGGTCGCCAATCTCGAGGCCGTGTTGGCCGCTCCCCTCCCGTACGATGCGCAAGGCACCCTCCTAGTCGGGTAGAGGATCCCAATCCATCCGTGATTGTGGGTATATTTTTAGATTTTTTCAACCATAGCATATTTTGTATACACATTTAGCTAGCACATTTTATCTCGATATCAAATGTCTGAGATACGGATGAGTTGTCTCTGATGTTGAGCAATTAGCATGTATACTACACATGTGAACACTTGAGCATTCTCACAAAAAAGTGGTCAAAACTTTCAAAAAATAAAAAATGGTCGGACTGATATATTTTGATTATTTTCTAGAATATTGTTATTGAATTGGTCAGTGACAAGAGTTTGTTTGTTCCTACAATTCAAAAAATTAGCCGGAAGTGGTTAGACGCCTAGTTAGTTAAATAAGGTACGGGAATTAAAGGAGGTTTAATACGTACGTGTTTTATTCGATAACCTGAATGAAAAAGGCGGTAAAAAATTCGTTGAAAAAACGTTGACTTTTAAAAAACATATAAATACGTATACATGTATAGTACGTTATCTAATACAAAAATTTGGACGAAAAAATACGGGTATTATTTTGAACATCTAAATGATATATTTCATAAAATAACATTTATAGTAAAAAAAGAAATAACAGTATACACATATTCAAGTAGCAAATCACATTACTACATACAAGAATAGTTCATAATTGCATAAGTCGATGACAAAAATAAAAACAGTAATTAAGTCTAGGACATAATTTTGAAAAATAATGTCAAAAAATCATTATCTTTATATGATCATCAAATAATAATACTCAAGTTAAACTCATCATTTTCATTAAGATGACATATGACAAAAGTTGTGTGATTGCTACACTTATTATTGTTTGTGTAAAAGCTTATGCTAAAAAAACGTTAGGTTTAGAAAAATCTTAATTTTGATATGCTAACTTAAAAAACATCAGAAATCTTGTAGTATATTACTATGTAAGTTTAGTATTTCAGGATGCTAGCTTTAGCCATCATGCAATTAATTTTAGTATTTAATAATTGCACTGTAACAATACAAAAACACGAGATCATAGGGTGGACGTTTTCATTTTTACGTTTACACTATTGTTGATCTTCTATGCATTTAGTGCATTCATTCAATTGGTCAATTCATGTTTATGTTTTTTGTAAAATACGGGAAAAATACGTTTTATACGGGAAGTAGGAGTTTTTTTCCTTTTTAAATGGACCGACATTTCCCCCCTTTTTAAACGTGTTTTTTTGGTCAAAAAATGGTACGTGTTTAAAACGCGTTTAAAACGAAAAAAAACTAACTAGGGTTAGAGCCAAATTTCCTATATTTTTTCACAAAATAAACTGACCCGCTTCGTTCATTTTATTTCTAAATTCATTTTAAAAAATTGGCTGGCGATCCACGACCGCAATCAATGTTTGGGGATTGAGGATGTTTTTACTTGGACTGTAATTTGCTGGTATGATCTGATCTGATCTGATTTCTTTGTATTTTTATAAATATCCAATTTTAGTCTGGTATGATCTAGTCTGTTCTGATCTACAATGAATTACAGTCCAAGTAAAAACATCCTCATTGACATAGGGTGATAGGGGACAAACATCATACAATGGAAATAAAATATAAAGGGAAAATGATCAAATAGGCCCTCGAACTTACATAAAAAGGTCAAATAAGCCCTTATATAGGAGGCTCTGTCCGGCCGTCGCCATTTGGGGCCGTTCCCGGTGGAATTTTTTGATGAAATTTTTTGAGCATCTTATTCATTAAGTCTAGTTTACTCATACCAAATTTCAGCTAACAATTCAATCAGGAAGGCATTCAAATGAAACCTTGAAGATAACTGTGCTTTTAACTGCGCAGTTATTTTCAAGAATTCATTTGAATGCCTTCCCGATTGAAGTTTTAGCTGAAATTTGGTATGAATAAACTAGACTTAATAAATAAAATGCTCAAAAAATTTATCAAAAAATTCTACCAGAAATCATCCTAAATGGTGACGGTCAGACAGAGCCTCCTATATAAAAGCTTATTTGACATTTTTATGTTAGTTCTAGGTGGATCTTTTTCCCAAATACGAATATCAAAAGAGCTGAGTCCCATTTCAGGTACATGCCAAATCCATACACGGGCGCACTATACATACGGTCTGTGAAAAATGTATTCATGTTCAAAAAATGTCTTCACAGTCCTATGAGGTGAAAACGTGATGTGATAAATGATAAATCTATTGGCAAATTGTTAAGTTCGTGCATCTAAGTAGTTAGGTGTATATTAAGTAGAAAAGCATCGTTGATAGACCTATCTAACGATTTTTTCCAAAACTTATATCAAGAATTGATCTTGTAGGCTATTTAGGCTATGTTAATTTGGAAAATGACTTATTAGTCAACTTTTAGCAAATTTGACTTGTTCTGGCTATTTGACTAGTCAAATCAATAATATAAGGGAAATTTTCAGTCTAGTAACTTTCAAGTGTTATTATTATTGGCAGAGTCGGCTTTTAGCATGTTCAATATGTTATATAGAACGATTTTCGGTGGTTCAATTTTGGAATTTTCTAACAGGACTTTTCATATTCATCAAAGCTCCATCTTTCTAGATTTTCCGCCG